TGTTCTGCTGAACCATACCCAGGTTCGCATTGTGGGAGCTGATGCAGCTAGTCAGCAACTAGAGAAAACCACTGTTCTGATAGACTTAGTACCCAAAGGAGTAAAATTTGATGATACCACCGCATTTTTAATATATAAGAAATTCTGGCACAGGGAGATTCTGATAGATGCTTCAGTCTTTGGTGCTTATGAAGTACTCTATGTTCATTACCCAGGTTATACATTGATGACTTTGTTAGGACTTCTCTTTTTTATAAAGTATATTATACGTTATGTTTGGTTTCATTAGTTGATATCTCCCTCTACATTCATACTTTTGGATAACAAATGCAGGTCTTCCACCATCTCCACCTTCAACACCCTCAGATGCCTCTAGTATAGATGATGGGCCAAATCCTGGACATGACAACAATGGAATGATGTTGAAACCTTTAGGAGTAGATGTCTCAAAGAAGAAAAAAGAAGGGAGCAATGGAAGAATAATTCTTATAATTGTGTTGTCATCCATTACTGCTTTAGTTTTATTCATTGGTCTTGCTTGGCTTTGTCTGCTGAAATGTCGTGCCTATGTTCATGAACATGAATCAGCTCCGGATGGTTTAATTTCCTCCTCTTCAAAACAATCAAGTAAGTGCTATTAATGACTCTGTCAAAACTTTGTTGCCAGTTTAGAGACTGTACAACAACGAAAGTTCTTTTCTATAATGATTAGTGTCATAAAACATTTCTTTGACTGTATTTGGAATTCACTGTAAATATCTACAACTAAATTTACTATTAGCAGGGCCTGCTGGGTCATTGGCTCATGGGACCAGGCCAAGTTCTGGATCACGGTCCTTCAACTTTGGAACAATAACATATACAGGGTCTGCTAAGATTTTTACTTTGAATGACTTAGAGAAGGCAACAAATAACTTTGATTCTTCAAGAATATTAGGAGAAGGTGGCTTTGGAGTTGTTTACAAAGGCATTCTAAATGATGGGAGGGATGTAGCTGTGAAGATCCTCAAAAGAGATGATCATCGCGGTGGCCGTGAATTCTTGGCAGAAGTTGAGATGCTTAGCCGCCTACACCATAGAAATTTAGTTAAATTGATAGGTATATGCATTGAGAAACAGACTCGCTGCTTAGTTTATGAGCTTGTCCCTAATGGAAGTGTGGAATCCCACTTACATGGTAAACATGAACACCGTTCAAGAATTTCATCAATACTTTTGGAAGTAAAAAATCATCATTCTTTTTTCGGAAACTGACTTTAAGTACCCTCTATTTCCCAGGAGCTGACAAGGAAACTGATCCACTGGATTGGAATTCCCGGATGAAGATTGCTCTTGGTGCAGCTCGGGGATTGGCCTATTTGCATGAAGATTCAAATCCATGTGTCATACATCGAGACTTCAAGGCCAGCAACATCTTGTTGGAGTGTGATTTTACACCCAAAGTCTCAGATTTTGGATTGGCTAGAACAGCACTGGATGAGAAAAACAAGCACATCTCCACACATGTTATGGGAACATTTGGGTAATAATCCCTTGCTAGCCATATCATGTTGATGCTTTGATGAATGTGATAGTTAAACATGCATGCAATGTACTCCTTTTATAGAGTTCTTTTATGTTTAGCATACCACTGAATTTTTATTGTATAGGTACTTTACCTTATCTATGCATTCCTATCATAAACCAACTCTCCAAAAAACTTAAGCTACTTGATGAAGGAACATGGTCTTATTATAACCTATTTAGCAGACCCCATGGGACTTGAAGCACGAACAATGTGCAAGCCCACCTTATCTACTCTTGAAATTCAACTTTTTGGTCATAATTTCATAAACTATATCATGAACCAACTTTTCCCAAAACTTAAGTGGTTAGGTGATGGCATGTAATAAATTTTATTTCAGATCTTAAACCATTCCTTAATATGGAAACTGAATTCATCTCATTGACATGTTTTGCAGCTACTTAGCTCCTGAATATGCAATGACTGGCCATCTTCTGGTCAAGAGTGATGTTTACAGTTATGGAGTTGTACTCCTTGAGCTCCTAACCGGAAGAAAGCCTGTGGATTTGTCACAACCACCAGGTCAAGAAAATCTTGTTACTTGGGCTCGTCCACTTCTCACAAGTAAGGAGGGTTTGCAGATGATAATAGACCCATTTGTAAAGCCTAACATTTCTGTTGATACTGTGGTAAAAGTTGCTGCAATTGCATCCATGTGTGTGCAACCAGAAGTCTCTCAACGTCCTTTCATGGGAGAAGTTGTTCAGGCCTTGAAGCTAGTATGCAGTGAGTTTGAAGAAACAGACTATATAAGATCAAAGAGTTTTCAAGAAGAGGGTCTTCTAACTGATGTGGAAGGAAGGTTTTCTGAAGCTTCAGGTGAAAGAGTGGAATTTTCGGAGTATCAAAAAACTCTCTCTGGCTATCAATCTGGTGAAGAAAAGGTAACATTATCTGCATCAGAGTTGCTTGGTACTTCAGGTCAGGAATTTGAGTCATTCAGGAGGTATTCTCGTTCGGGACCTCTAACTATTGGGAAGAAAAGACAGTTCTGGCAGAAGTTGAGAAGTTTGTCTCGAGGTAGCTCCAGTGAACATGGATTTTCAACTAAACTATGGCCTGGATCCCATTAAGCTTTCAATATTTTTGTGTTTTGCATACCGAAATCATCGTTCCACGAATCACATGTTAGATTCGCTTGAAAGAAAATGTTGTGATAATAATGTAAAAAGACAATCTACAACTACTTATCAATGTATAAACTACGTAATCATGTTTTTTTTTCTAGGTAACTATGTCTGAACAATTGGTACTATAGAGAATAGTAACAAGTGGTACATGTCCATAATAACAGTTGTCTGACCTTCTTTAAAATGAACTAATTGGTTGAAAGGAGTTAAGTGACACATGCAGATATGTTATATATATAAAATAGGGAGGGAAAGCAACAACTTTTGCTTTAACACAGATTGCGTTAATAGGACACTACCATTTTCTTTTTTTCCCTCTATCCAATATTTTCCTCAAGTTTCTAAAAATCCAGAATAACATCTTTTTGCCTGGAAATAGAAAAACTTAAAACAAATCATCACAGTAACTTTTTCGTCCCAAAAAAGCCATGACTTTCTTGACTAATAATAAATTAACCTTTACTAGAAATTACAACAGATTACATTCATTTCCAGTCCTACTACTAACTTTTTTTTTCTTGATGTGCAACAGTGCTTCTCTTATCTTCATTCTACACACCTTTTCAAGATTTGATATGAATATGGACTTCACACAAGATGAATCCTTATTATATACCAGCTAATTTCCCCAACCTATCTCTCAAAATCTTCAGTCCCATGTACCTGTCACAAACATAGATAGATTATTGACATGCTAATGCAAGTGTTAACTTTGGTAATAAAATTTTATTCAGTTTCATGATCCCAGAGTGCATACCTGCCCATCATCATGACAGTGGCTTGAGGATTTGTTCCTGGTGATTCATTAAATGTTGAGCCATCTACCACACGGAGTCTGTCAACACCGAGAACCTTATAGTCAGGGCTGACAACCTTCCCCACGTGGCAACCTCCATGGTAGTGCCAAATTGTGATCACAGTGTCTTTGCAGAACTGCTCAATTGACTTAGTGTCATTGGGATGCTTGGGTATTAAGTTGACATTAGCCTTGACAGTGAGGTTGAGCAGTTTCTCTCTGGTTTTTCTGTCACTCAAAGTGTAGTTTGTGAAGTATGGTGACTGGACTACCTTAATGGCCATGCGGATCCCCTTAACGCAGCGCTGAAGATCATATGGATGGCTGAAGTAGTTGAAGGTAACAGCAGGGTTGTCATTCACATTGGTGTTGATCAGCCTGAGCTCACCTACCGACCAAGGGTTGGCAACTTTTGACAGAATAAAGCCTCCCTTGAATGCTTCAACCGGTATGTCTCGCTTGTTCTTGATATAGGCTTGAATAGCTTCTTGTGATCTTTGCTTAGGAGGAATTGTTGACAGCTGCCCAATCTGGTGCGTATCATATCAAAAATGAAAATGACTAGTCATAGAATTTATTGCTAACCTACAATGCAGACATTATCACATACCATTCTAATACATTAAGAGCGTGTTTCAAATTTGGATTCACCTCAATTTTGATTAGATGTGGATCGGTGGAAGCAACAATTAGTTAATTTTGCATCAATTTTGATGTGATTCTTGTCTAAACATGGATCGTGGATGTGGAACTAAACATGCCCTAAATACTATGTGGAATTTGGACTCTAATGTTGCAAGATTGGTGATTTGAACTCTAAGATTAAGGAAATCCTATATTATTCAAGAGGGATGACTATAGGGCTAAATGATCCTTTTTTTATGTGTTTTAGTATTTTATCTTGAAAGATGAATAATTATTAAACATTAGGTCAGAAGGGCAAAGTTAGGAAAATATCATAAATACTTTTCTGGTATTGTAAAATTGACAGATAATTTGAAACAAAAATAATTGTTAAAACAACACTAGTTTCAAAATGGAGGAAGTAATTGTCAAGGAAACCAATGTGGTCCATATTATTTATGCCCACAATCTGTAAATTTAGTGAAACGTTGCATACCTCAGCTGACATGATACCATGGTGGCAGTGAATGCTTTCATTGGACTGACCAAACCCACTGCTAGCCTCAATGTACACACCCATATTAGTGATACCAACTGTTTCTATGAGTGACTGATTAATTGGTCTATTAGAAGGAACATACATTGTATTCATGGGATTGTCTACCATTCCTTTCCCAACAAATCGGTTGTTAAGGACCACTGAGATGTTCAACTTCTGGAGTTCTTCTTTTGGCCCAATTCCACTAAGCATTAGCAATTGAGGAGTCCCAATTGCCCCACTAGACATTATAACTTCACTATGCCCATCATTTGTCAGAGTAGCCTCATGCTGTTTCCCATTTTCATCCTGGAAAATAACCCCCACAGCCTTTCGCCTCTTTCCTGCAACAGAAGCATTCATTTTAGTCATTTAAGTTACTTGCAAAGCCATAAACTTAAGTATACATCTTTGACTTTGGGCCTGTATGAGTAAACTTTCTCTGGAAGCACTTCCAAGAGAGAAAAATATGAACTAAAAATAAAATAAGTTTCTTCTGTAAACTAAAACTAATTTGTAGAAGTTCTCTAATACAGACTTTTCTATAATTTTATTATGGAGAAACTTATTTTGATTTTTCTTTTCATTTTTTTCTCTTAAAAATGCTCTTGGAGAAGTTTATGCACACATACTCTATGTATATGTTATATGTACCTCTTGTATCAAACACAATCTTTTGGACAGTGGCATAGATCAAAACAGTTAGCTTGTCACGGTTCCCTGAGGCAAGCAGTTCAGCAGCCGTGTGGGGGCGGCCGAATCTGTCAAAAATGGTTCCACCAACCTTTGTTCCATAGACATGATCGTAGGTGAAGCCATTAAAAGGCGACACGCCAGTATCTAGAAGACTGTCCCTCACTGCTCTCTGATAAGCTGAAAACGTTGGACGGTGAACAATTTGCTTCTCAACCCAAGGGTATGACTGGTTTACTAGGTTCGCATCCCAACCCACCTTCTTTATAAACCTGCATTCCATTAAAAATAACACATTTGAGACCAAGATAAATGTGCTTAGAGAGCATGATTATTATCATCAAAAATGTTAACAACACACTCTATCTCTTCCTACTCTTTTAAATCACTCTTTTTATTTGTCAAAATTTATTAGAAAACACAAAATTTAACATATTGAAAGGAGACTGTTAGAGTATGTTGCGGAAACTCCTTTTATTACTGTATTGATTGATGCCTCAACCAAGTCAAATTTATAAGCTGGTGTTTGTATTAGAAGTTACTATGCTAAATCATTGTTCAGGAAGATGACATGATCAAACCGCTAATGTTTGCCCGTATAGGAATCAGATTAACAAATTTTTACATCTAAAAACTAAATTAGAATATAAAATGTTTAAGAACTAAATTATATATTTAACTTCTAAAAAAATGTTTATATTTTTCTAACTCATAACCTAGCATTTTGTTTAAAAGAAACTATTTTAATTCCTGAACAGTGATTTACAAATGTCAAAGATAGACTTGGAAATAACATAACTCACATGTTTATTTAGTAAAGTCAGCCTATCAAATTCCTTAACCGATTTTCTTTTAACATTTTATATAAATTTTCGCGTATTTAGTTAAAGATGTTTTTGATAAGAAAACGTAGGTTATGAATTGGAGAAACCTGTGTATGTAAGAAAGAGAAAATTTAAATACAAAGTATGGTAAGGGGTTGTTTGTTCCAAAGATGGAGCATCTTAAAAGAGATGCACCGAAAGAAAGTTTCTTCGTTGTAACAATGAATGTCTCTCATTTTTTCATTTCCCATAGATCTGACACTTGCACGTAATCACTTCTAAATTCTAATGGCATAAAATAGTGTAACAAAGGACCACAAGCAGCATTTAATTGTTGAAAATAATCCCATCATGCCAATTAATGTCGTGAATATGAGGATACTCACTTTCAACTATTTTCTCTTGCTAGCTTTGACCAATCAATTCCAAGGGTTCTAACCACTTTTTTATGTCATTTTCTCTAAACTTTTTCTTCCTTTTTGTTCTTAATTGTGCATGCTTCTAACATCGGCTCATAACTACGTTTTATTACTATATTAATTAACTATGTATTATTGAACATTTAAACTATTAGGATTAGACCCCTCAACGAAAAGACTGAAAACCTTATGTACATAATAATTCATTTGATTACCTATATATTATTTTTTTAATTTTACATAAGTAATATATAATTATAATTCAAGATTAATAAAAATATTGATGATATAATAATTAATGTAAAGCGAAAGTTATACAAGTTTAATTTAATCTCTCCTCTGTATCGACAGAGACACAATAATTCAACAGCAAAAAGGGAAGAAAAAAAAAAGTAATTATGATATGACATTATCTAAGCTTGAGATGGAATATTCATGAACAATGTGAAAAATAAGCAAACAAATGCATATGTAAAATTGGATAATCTTGTAGGAGATTTTCATAAAATCATTAATTAAACTTGAATTTGATACGATGAAATTTTTAAATATATGGGATAACTCAGGTCAACCCGATTTATTAATGTAATAAATCATTATTAATATTATATATAGATAAACAAAAAATAAATAAAACTTAAATTAAGATATATTATATATTTTAAAATAATATTTATTAGACTTAAATAAGTAACATATATTAATATAATATCATGTTATTTAAAATAATATTTATTAGATTTAAATATTTTTTAATTCATATTAAATGAATGAGTTTTGACTTTGGTTTTTGTAAAATAAATTTCTTTATATTTCATCTTTCTAAAATTTATAAACATCATTTTTAGTTCTTCTAAAATATTTTTTGTTCTTGTAAAATGAATAGATTTTGATTTTGATTTCAATAAAATATTTTTCTTTTGATTTTATCCCTCTAAAATCTAAAATTATTCCTTTTGTTCTCTCACATTGATTTTTAGATAGATAAATAATGTTTATTTCAAAAATTTATAAAAAAAATTTAGTGATGTGACAAATTGATATAATATTATTAACAATTATAAGTAATATTTAAAATAACTATTTAATTTTATAACAAACAAAAGAGTGACTAAAAATGATTATATAATAACAAAGGCTAAATTTGATAAATCTAAATTTTATAGAAATGAAAAAAAAAATACAATAACCAAAATTAAAACTTACTCATTTTACATAAACTAAAAATTTATTTATTAAATCAAAAGTTTTATTGTTATACCCAATTGTTAAAAAAAACATATTTTTTTTTTAAAAATGTAAGACCCAATATGAAGTTGGAATGACCAAAACATGTTTTAACATCTTTTTAAAATTAATCAACTTTTATATATTAAATACAAATTTTTATTTTTTTATTTTAAATTTTTTTTCAACGAGAGAATTTGTAACTATAATATAAATTATTTATCATAAATATAAAATATAATATATTTATAAAAATATTTATATATACTAATTTAAAATATAATTCATATGTTCAAACGTAATATTTAATTATATATAATTTATTATAAATTTTAATTATATATAATAAACATCTTATATTTCACAGTCTAGTTTCTAAAACGTGAAAATCAATAACAAGTCGAACCAAATTAATAGTACGGGAAGAATAATGCACACTCCTAGTATGTTTTCTAATTAATTAATAGTATAATTTGTACAAAAAAGTGCACATCTGATAAACCCTTAAATAATTTACATTAATTTTGTATAAAATTTTATACATTCATATTTCAATAATTATTCACTAAAAGTGCAGATAGTGTAGGGTCCTCTTATATATTAACCAGACAAATTGAATAAATTGAACATCTTCTTTATTGATTGGATTAATTATCTTATTTATTAAAAGTGAAATATTACAATTATTTAATTATAGTATTAATAAATAGTTTTAAAGCTTGAAAATTCAAGAGATTAACGTATTCATTGATAATTAATAGTTTCAGAAAAATACCAACAACATATATATTATACTAAAGACACTCTAATCTCAATTATTAATTTAAATTAGTCGGCATAATGTAATATAAGTTGAAATAGAATACAAAATATTAAATTTAAACTTGTCATTATAATTTTGATAGATAAAAAATTATTAATTTAAATTTATTATAAATTTATAAATAGAACCAATATTAAATAAGAAGTGGCATTTACCAAATTTTATATTTTTTAATAATTTATAATCAATAATAAAGAATATATGTGTGGGCTTTTATAATCAAGATATGTGTGTTTAAAAGAATGTTACTACACTTCTGACATTAGATTAAAATTCCCATAGACCCATAAATTTCTACGCACATCAACATAGTAAATCAGTGATTGTTATACATAATAATATTTTACAAAATATGACATAGGTGGTGGATTAGTTTAAAGTATGAACCACTTAACTGATTTAATCAATCATTAAATGAAAATTCATATTTATAATGTCGCTTAAATCTAGATAGTAAAATATAAATCCCAAAAAATGAACAAAGTATTTATTTATTTATTTATTATTTTTATTACTTTATTTACAAATCCCGAAAAATATAAACGAAAATAAAAAAGTTTGTTTTTATAACTATTTATGAAGACAAAAAATGAAGAAAAAAAAAATCAAACAAGTCCTTAATTAACACAAATATTAAAGTCTTAAAAATTATGAATAATGATAATATTGAGAAAAAAAATTTCATTTCCTCTCCTGAATTTTATATGCGGAAAACATATGCATTGGATCTCTTGCATAAATAAAAAATATATATACATTGGATGTTTATGTATAATTTATATTTGGTATTAGCTAACATATTCGTTTGGATAAATTTTTAGAAAAACACTTATAAAAAGAAGGAAATGTAAAGAAAAAAAATTAACTTTTTTATAAGTTAAAATGATCTTATGCATAAATTAAAAAAAATCAAAAAAATTTATAAATTAACTTATAATTTATTTTATTTTTCTATAAATATTATCCAAAACAAAATATAAAATTTAATTATTTAAGAGTTTAACAACAGACCCAAAGTTTTATTTTCTTCGGTTGAAAAATAAGGTGTTTCTTTTTTAACAGACAACGAAAAAGTAGTTGAACTTTATTAACATCCATCGGCAGCAAATTCATTACTAGGTTGGTCCACCTTAATAAAGTAAACAAATGAAAATGACAGCAGTAAGTAAATTTTTTTAAAAAAAAGTAAAAATACAATTCACATTTAATTATTAAATATTATGTATTATGTCTCCGTTAAAATGTGTGGTTAGGATCACTCAGAAAACATTTAATAATAACCAAAAATATAAAATATTATGTGCTGTGTATTTTTTGATATTGAAGTTTGACCTCCAAAGAACAGGACAAATAATTAATAGGGTCTGATGATATAGTACATAGCACAACTATATCTCATAGAAAAGAATAATAAAAGTGAATGGCATATGATATGTTAATTCTAATCCAAAAAAAGTTTGAAAAAAAGAATGCAAATGAGGAAATGAAGAAGTTAATTACCCTGGATTTGCTCTAGAGTAGAAGCCAGCATTGATGGAACTGCCACCTCCCAAGACCCTTGCCCTTGAATTGTAGACTCCATCAGTTGAAATGAAGTATTGAGAAGCTGAAGTTGGAGAAATATCTGCCAAGGTAATGTGGAAGTTTTCTAGAAATGAGACATTGGGGTTGGTGAAAGGAACACCCCCTCTTTCAAGCACCAGAACACTGAAGTTCTGAGATAGGGTTGCAGCCAAAGGACACCCTGCTGTGCCACCTCCCACTATAATATAGTCATAAGCATTATTGGTGGAGGTAGTTGAAATTGATGGTGATGAGAATGAGCTTGCATTTCTGATAAAAGGGTATCTGTTTTCATGCCACTTCTGCTTTCCTGCATTCAAATTTCCTAGCCAGTCTCATCATCTCTATTATAATAATTTCATTTTCAGTTCAATCTAGAGTTAAGCCATCCTCCACAAAAAGTTTAAACAAATTTGAGAAATGATATTCTAGTATATGGTTAAACAAGGTGGCTAATGCCTAGAAACTCTTTCTTGATTGAAATGTGTATACATACATACAAATAATATACATTTTTATTTTTTTATAAACTATAAGTTTGTTCCACAGGAGACAACCATGTTCATAACCAGTGCTTAAACTGAAACAACATCATACCACATGATTTATTGGTTTACTAATAATATACATATACATACATACTAGTGATATAACCATAATGAAGAAATCAGATTAAAGTGTATATGTTCAAAGAGAACTAGAAAATTAAACATTTGTCTGTGATCTAGACTTATATAAGCTCTTGAAATGAAACTCCAAACGTAGAAGAAACTAGGACCAGTGGCTACATATTTGACCAGATTCCTTGAGATAGATTGATGCCACAAACTACATTCACAAATTCCCATCTATCTGCTAGAAACCCAGATGCCATTATGTAACGAAAAAAAGAGATGCAAAAGTACACCAAAGAAAAAGAATTTTAGCCTTGAAAAAATGAGAACTCCTATGTATCTTGAATGGAAAATATTTCCAAGAGATTAATGTTGAAAATACAAGCTGAAGGTGTGGTTAGATAACCAACCTTGACAAGGAGGTAGAGAGTTGCAGAGCCATAAAACTAAACACAGCAAGAATTTGATTGCACAAACTGAAGCCATGAAATTACAGCGGGACAGAAAAAGCACTCTCTGAAGAAAGTTCTTCTTCCCAAACTATAAGTGCCTGCCTCTCATTGGCCTTGTTTTGTGTGCACGAACCTATATATACCGTGTCATTAAGATAATATTATTATAAAATAATCTATTATAATTATATAATCATTATATCAATATAACTAGTTGTACTAGTTAAATTTATTGATTTTATAATAAAATCATGATGTATTAATATTATCTTTCATATTTATCAATAAATTGTCACGAGAAAAGTACAAATAATCTTTAATTTTTAAATTTATACATTAATACTAATAAAATTAATAAATGATATGGTAACAAAAAAAGTTAAGAGATGAGAAAAAAATTGTATTTCTCATATTTTTCTTCTCATTAATAAGAACAAAGGATAAATAAAATTAATATTTTGTAAAAAAATATAAAACAAGTAATATCATTCCCTTGTGAATTAGGATGGAAATAGAAATTAAAACATAGTTTTAGAAACAGCGGAAAAGATTAGTGAATGAGGCATTAAATGTGGAAATGAATGCCACAGTTAGAGTGAAGAGTCTGTGGTCGTTGGATTAGACATTGTATTTTGAGATCACGTTCATGAGTTTGTACAAAGACAGCTCACTCACCAGCCTACACACTAAGGAGTAAAGCTCCATATTTAATATTCCACCAAAAAATTTGTGAATTATTTTCATTTTTTTTCCCCTTTATCATGGATGATTAGATTAGGGGGCACTTCCTGGATTTTGTCCCTTCAACTAACCCTTGCACTAGACTTGGTAGTGATTAATACTAACATTCACTTAGCACCTATAAAATGCAAAAAAAATGGAAATTAGAAAAATATATTGTATTTTGGGCTATTAATGGGAACAGAAATTTCTGCTTTGCATTTGCTTTATTCTGGACATGATATTCTGGGGTGATGGTCTGCATCACTGCTGGTATTGTTTGGTGATTCTATTCATCACATTGAATGGATATATCATATCATGGCAATAGAAGTCAAGGAAAGTGTAAAGGGTACAATTAACGATCCATTAATTATTTTGGTTAACGTATTTGAATCAAATATAAGAAAATACTAACCCCTTTTGACTAATTATGTGTTTAATTTTGATGTCATTGGACCAACCCCTAACTTGTGCATATTCTGCGCTGTGGGGCAAGAGCCATTGGAAAGGGCAGGGTCCATCCTAACATGGAAGCTTGTTGAGAAAGGCACAAATTCAAGATGGATCAAATAATATTATCATTATTGTTTAATATTATTATTTTGTTTGCTTCTTTATGACTTGGACTAGACCACTCTAATACTGAAAGAAGAACTAATGAGTATGAACAAAATGATGAATGACACAAATTCAAGAGGAGAAAATTCATTTATTTAATTTAATATTACGTTGCAAAGAATGACTTGCTTGGATCTCATGACAACGCATGCATGATGCATGTATGACAAAAGTATTCAAAGTCAAAATGGAAGATCAACTTTAACTTAAAGTATTTAAGCTAATAAGTTATGGTGTGTGGAAGGCAAAAATTTAAAATTGAGGCATTGTGCTGCTTAGATGGTGCTACAAAGTCTGCACTTACTTTATAGTGATATGTTGATCCGTAGGGCAAAAATAGAAGGGAAAGGGTGGGGCCCACGCCAGCCTCAAATAAATGATATATAGGTTGGTTGTTCCAAGCTTCCCATGCTGAGCTGTAATGTCTATGCCAATTGTTCCAAATTCCCAATCTATCATTATACTTGTGCTTCCACCTCTCTCTAAGGGAAAGTTGGGCAAAAACAATATGAACCCTTAATTCCCTTTGAAATTGTATAGGTGGGTAACTACACATTTTACCATTTTATTTAAAACCATTCCCATAACTTTTCTCTTTCAAGGCCTAAAGTTTATGAGTTTGGTTCAACTTTCACGAGCATTCAACTGAATCAATTTTATTTGCTAATTGTTGATCGAGTCTGGTCGTTATCGTTACAAGTCTGTTTAAGATTTATTGGAAGAATCAAGAATGAAGTTGTGGATGATTGTTACTCAAACTTTGGCATTCACTTAATATTAGATAAATATGGAAAAATTTAAAATTTATTTAATGAGAAGTTTACACAGAACTTTTTTCTATTCATTTATTATTTTTGAAAAGTTTTTACAACAAAAATTATCATTAATTATATTTGAATTTTTTAGAAGCCTTGACATTTCGAACAACATTCATGCTTGTTAATAGATTAGAGTTATATTGGGAGAAGAGGTTCTCTCATGTCAAATGTCAATTACATTATCTTTATTTGGTTCAGTTTGCTTAAGAGAAAACCAATCCTCAACATCATTATGCAAATGAAATTACATTCATCCGAGAGATGTTGAGTAGACCATAGAGTTGCTCCTTTACTCATGTATTTCGGAGAGGAAATTCATGTACAGATTGGTTGGCAAAGAGGGGTTCGACGTCAGATACTCTCTTAGTGATCATTGAAAAAACAAAGACTATTATTCAATTGTTATTAGTTGTAGATGCATTAAGAACTCCCTACCCCCACTTGTAGGGTTGGATTGTTTTGTTTAGGATTCTTTTAGTTTGATCTTCCTTAGTTTTTTTTCTTTACATTTATCACCAAAAAAATAAACTATCATTAATTATATATATGGATAATATATGGTGTACCTTTTTATTTTATTATTAATTTTTCTTATGCATGTTATTTATATTTATTGAAAAAATATTTTTAATTTTTAAATTTAGATTTTTAAGACACTATTTAAATTTTTAAAAATATTATTTCTCTTTTAGGATATTGATTAAAATTAAAATATATTATATTTATTTTATAAATTTATTTTCGCTTTTGAAATTAAGATGTTAGGTTAATAAATAAATGTTCTTAAAATGAGAAAAAAAAATACTCAATCTATAAAGAAATTCATATGGAGGAAAATTTAACAAGTTTCTTCATAAAACTTGTGGTAAGAGTTTTTCAGTTGCATAAAAAAAAATCTGTAACTAAGTGTTTATACAATTTTACTAGAAAATTTGTAAAGGAAAGTTTGTCAAGTTTCGTTGGAAAACTTATCTAGAGGGTTTTCAAATTTCATCAACATAACTAATGAGGAAGGATTCCAAGTTACATCGATAAAATTTGTGAGAAGAGGTTTTCAAGTTTTATCTGTAACACTTGAAGGAAAAATCTTCATAAACATATGTAATACATTTGAGATAATTAATATTTTTATGAATGTTGGTATGAAGGTCGAACCATATTAAATAATTTTTGTGCAATTTTTTCAACTTCATATCTAATTTAGTTTTTATTTAATTGTAATTATTAATAAATTAAATTTTAATATTTAAAAAATTATCAATAAATAAATATAAAATTAAATATATTTTTATTCCTTATATAATGAACGAATTTTGATCTTGGTCCTTGTAATTTTTTTTGTTTGTCATCCTTTTAAAGTTTATAAACAATGTTTTTTATCCTTGCAAAATAAATAAATCTTAAATCTTGATTTTGATCCCTATAAAATTTGTTTTTATTTTTATCTCTCTAAAATTTAAAATCGTTATTTTTTGTTCCAATGATATTCTAAAGTATATATATAACTATTTTTAAAATTTTATTAAAAATAAATTAGATAATGCAGATAAAGTATCACAAATAGTTGTGAGTACAACTTGAAATAGTCGCAGCACTCTAATGAACACATGTAATTAAAAAAAATCACATAATAGTATAAACTAAAATAATAGTTTCAAATTTTAAAGGATGAAAAAAAAAATAAAAGATTTTATAGGGACCAAAATTAAAACATGTTCATTTTGTAAGGACAAAAAAACATATTTAAACCATAAAATAATTTGATGATGCAATATGAATAATTTATCATAAATTTAAAATATAAGTATATATTTAAAATATCTATTTATTATAATTTTAAATATAATTTATATATTCAACCATAATATTTATTTATATGCATAATTTATTTTAAATTTTCTTAATTGTATATAATAAACATTTAACACGTACATTGCACATGCTAAAATACTTCATATAAATTATTTTTGTTAAATATAATGAAAAATAATAATTGATTTTATCAATTCATATTTCAAAATTACAATAACAATTGAATTTAAGTGGAATATTAAATTATATATAATACATTTAATCATTTTAACATCTAATAGTAATAAGAAAGTAATTTAAAACATTATATTATTTACTATATTTAAAAAATATGAAATGATAAAATAATTCACTATATTTTAAGTAAAAATATATTAAATTTTATGACATTTAAAGTTAATGAACAATATTTTGAATAATATAAAAAATAATTAAATTAAACTCAAACTGTCAAAGTTAAAATATTTCAAAAAATAATTATTATTTCGATAGAAAATTTATAATTATTATTTCGATAAACAATTTATACTTCATAATGAGTTATATTTTATTAAATGCAATATATCTTACATAAATATAAAGTATTTTTTTTACATTAAAATTATAATGACAGAAATATGGTTCTAAATATAAATTATCTAATAGATAATTAAAGTACTAATTTATTTTAAGTAATATTTAATTTTAATACTAGTTTGCATCTAATTTAATTAATTTTGTATTTTGAAGTATTTAAAATATTGTTCATAAATTTTAAATTTATTGATGCTAATAAAAAAACTACTCACAATATAATTATAAAATAATTAAATTACTTTATTATTTCTTGCATATAAAATACAAAATCATTTAAAAACATAATTTCAATTTTAAACATTAAATTTTCAGATAAAAAAATATGAGTTCATAATTAAATATACGTTTCGTGCATACATAGATTAAACCCTAGTGAAAAAAGAAAAAAAAAATAATATATAT